GGGAGGAAGGGATAGACCGGGAAATTACAGGCAATTCAGTCTAACCTCAGTGGTGTAGAAATTATTAGAAAGAATTCTGGGGGAGAGTATTTTTCTGTACTTGGAGAGACATGGATTATTCATGGATAGTCAGCATGGATTTGTTACGGGAAGGTCATGTTGACAAACTTGATTGAAATTTTTGGGTAGTTATCCAGGTCCTTCATGGCAGACTGGTCAAGAAAGTAGGAGCTCATGGGATGGAAGGCAAAGGGGCACATTGGATCCAAAATTGGCTAAGAAACAGCGAGCAGGGAGTGATGATAGAGAAATGATTCTGTGACTGGAAGTCTGTTTCCAGTGGGGTGCCACAGAGCTTGGTACAGGTGCTTTTGTTGTTTATTATGTGCATTAATGATTAATAAGTTCATGGATGATGTGAAAATTGGCAGAATTGTTAATATTAAGGATGGTCACAAAGTGTAGGGCAAGTATAGATAGACTGGTCAGCTGGGAAGAGAAATAGCAAATGGAGTTCAATCTGAGGTTATGCTTTTGCAAAGGGCTAACAAGGAAAGGGATTACACTATAAATTGTTGGATTTTGGGAAGTACTGAAAATCAGAGGGAACTTGTTGTGCATAACATAGATGCCTGAATGTTGCAGGGCAGGTAGATAAGTTAAAAAGGCATGTGCAATACATGCTTTTAGTGCAGGCATAGAATTTAAGAGCAAGGAGGGTATTCTGGAACCGTACAAAACACTGTTCAAACCACAGCTGGAGTACAACATGCCGTTCTGGTCACTACATTCTAGGAAAAATATGATTGCGTCAGTGAAGGTTCAGAGGTGATTTACCATGATCATTCCTGAGCAGGAGAGTTTGGAGGAATGATTGGATAGGCTGGGGTTGTTTTCACTGGAGCAGGTAATGTTGAGAAGTGACTTGATAGAAGTGTACAAGAATATGAGAGGCATAGATAGGATGAATAGGAATGCACTTTTTTCCTATTAACTTAGGGGTAACTAACAGGGGACATAGATGTAAGGGGAGAGGAAGGCGGCTCAGAGGAGAGTTTGAGGAGGAAACTTTTGCACTCAAAGACTGGTGTATGCCTGGAACACACTGCCTGAAAGGGTGGTTGAATCAGAAACTCTATTAACATCTAAGCAGTATTTGGATATTTACTTTAGGGGCCAAAAGCTGGGAAAAGGGATTAGTATATTCAGATTTTTGTTGATTGGCATGGACACGATAGGGTGAATGGCTACTTGTGTGCTGCAAACATCTAACTTGTTCTGCTTTAATTCTCAATGGAGCATACCATTATCAAATTGTTCATCCATTGTTGCTAAACTGTTCAATTTGTATGAAGTTATTTATGTTCCATTCACTAATGGCAAATGAAGGTCAATGAAAATAGTAGGTTAATATTAACATCTGGATGGCTGCATTTTCTGCTCAAATATAACCATATGGACTGTACACAAAAATATAAAAAAACAAAGAAAGTCATGAAGACAAACAAAAATAAGATAAATAATTAAAATGATAAAAGCATAAAAGGACGTTGACACAATATCAACAAAATTAAAGTAGGATATTTTTGCAATAAAGAATCAAATATTTATGAAGGTAAATAAAGCCTGCTCCAATGGGTCTGTCAATTGTGTTGACAAATATAAAAAGACAAACAATTGCCATCAAAAAGAAATGATTGTAATGTGTTAGAGATAGCAGGAACTGCAGATGCTGGAGAATCTGAGATAACAAGGTGTAGAGCTGGATGAACACAGCAGGCCAAGCAGCATCAGAGGAGCAGGAAGGCTGACGTTTTGGGCCTAGAC